TCCCTCCAAAACTCAAAGGGGAGGCCATTTTTACAACAAAATTTCTCTCTCCAATCTACATTTTCTCTGTCTTTACTCTCTTTTTCCCGCTCTCTCTTTCACGTTCTCTCTCCCCCCTCTAAAACCGCTCACATGGTTTTCTCAAGAACCGCCGATTCACCCTCATCGGCAACACCACTAGCGCCGCCACCCCCTCCGACGTCCGCCTCCATTCCCTCAAAGTCCTGCTGGTTGAAGCATCGCCGAAGCTGCCTTCGATTGCTCCATCTCTCCCTCTCTTCCCACGACGGTTTGAACTGGTCCGAATCAGACTGGTTCTATTCAGCAGGCTGATCGGCGCCTCGCTGATGCTGATCCGATCCCTTCAGGCGTCTCTTGAAGTCCTTGGAGCCTCCTCAACAACCCTTGAGAGGTTTTTGCTGTTGATTTGTTGAGATAATCACAGATCGAAGCTCGGTTTAACCGAAATCGCGCAAAAGGTAGGAATTTATGCTCGAATCCAATGAAGCGAGGCTACGATAGGTAGCCGAGGCTAGGATTCACCCAAGGGCTTTCTATGGACTCTGTATTGATGATTTATGGCTGCTGATTACATGTTTGATGATTTGATGATGATTTTCTTCGAGGGTCATATTAGTTATACTGAATTTTTTTTTTTCAATCGAATACTAGAAATTACTGTTTGAGAAGGCTGGGTGACTAGCCATTTTGGCTATGGCATCAGGTTAGGGTCGGATGGGCAGGGGAAGGGGAGGGGCCCAGTCCCAACATACCTAAAAATTCGAAAACATTGGTATCAAATTTTCTAAATATATCTATGTTTTGACATTATTTTGAGTTATGAATAAAATGCTATATAAATAATTTAGTTATACATTTTTTACTAATTATTTGACAATTTTAACTTACAAAATATCATCACTGGGCAAATGTAGGTTTTATATCCATAATATTATAAAAGAACAGCCGTGACTGGAGCACGATCGAATTGACAATCTATTTGAGCTCTATTTCCAAATAGAGAATGTTTAACACTTGTGCGACCTTTGAATAATGAAATTGATCTCCAGCGGCTCGATCAAATATCAATGGATAAATTGAGGCTTGAGTTTAGATCTCGGTTGGAGGCCTTTTTGGTTTTGAGAGAACAAGGCCCAAGCAAGTTGGGGCCACTGTCTAGACTGGCCTTGTTCTAGTAGGTATTACAAAGTCTTACTTGGAGGCCTTGAATAATGTGCCGTGCCTACAATGTCATCGTCATGGCAGAGTGTTGAGAAGCCTGAGTGTCATAGAGCTTATGATTCAACTACTGAATGTCTACTTTTGACCAATCTAAGCCACCGGAGGAAGCTAGTATGAGGGAGGCTCATGAGGAAGTAGTACAAAAATCATTTGCTGTATTTAACATGAGTGATGTTAGTGCTAGTTCAGCAGAAAAGAAACATGAGGAGCTTCTTCATTTAATTGATCAGGTCGAGTTTGAGAGTAGTTTCCTTCATGCTGAAATGTTGGGCTATTGAAGACCAGTCGGAGTTGCCTAATAAGCAACTAGAAGCCAATGAGAATTACAATTCTCATTGTATGCAATAAACAACATTAACAAGCTTTCTGATGATTATTCAAGCCGTACAACTAAAATTACAGAAGAGAGATCTTCTAGCTTGCTGAAAATATTAGAATCTACAAAGCAAGAATTTCTAGACTAGAAAAGAAAATGCAAGCAAGTTTGTCCAAACAGAAAGATGAGATGGCAAATCATAGGGCACTTAGACCCTTGAATCACCTTTCTCTACAATGTGTTTGGAGAGAGAAGCTTTCAAGAATACTTGTATTTTGCTTAATTCTTGGATTGCCCAAATGAGGAATGGGCACCCCTATTTATATTTGAGCCCCTCTCTTTAGAACCGTTGATTCCCTCTTACATGGTGTTATCTTATGTGCCTACAGAATGCATGAACCCAGATGCTCCGAAAACTTGACATATGTAGTAATCACACAAACAAAGCCTACGCCAACAAAAACATAGGCTTTGCATAACTGCAAGTATAGCAATTAAACAATCGTGCAATCTAAATTCAATGGTGTGCACTAAAACAATTAATCATGGGAAATTCTTTCAGTTTAGATTGCACGATCATTCTGCTCTTTCAATTAGATAATGCCAATCCTCAGTCGCCGTGTCTATCTTTCAATTTAATTCAATCACGTAGCAATCGGTTCAAAGTTCGATCTGAATATAAGTAGCCCTTTCAAGCTCACTGAACCTATATTAGGCAAGTCTCTGTATAGTAAGACCATCCAAGGCTGTATTGAAAGCTTCATTAGATTGATGGGGAAATTGACTGGGATTATCTGAACAAAAAACAAAAAAACTAACTGGGATTAGACTTTCAACAATTACGAAACTCATGAGATTGGAGGAAGGTCCTTTCAATTTCCTAAGTACAAAGCAAAACCAAAAAAGAAATAATGCAAAAGAGCCAGTACTACATGACTTTGATAGATCATTATTGACATTTGATTTTTAGCCGACAGATCATATAAAGGTAAAAAAAAAGTCATTTTAGTGTTTTTCAAGTTAATGTTAGTCTCATAGTGTGTTGCTTAAACCAAGACATTGATTTTATCAATAATCCAATGAAGTCTTTAGAGTTCACTTTTTGATCAACAACTAAAGTCAAATCGTGTCAATTTTTCAAAAAAATAAAAAGATTAAAAATCATCAAATCAACTCATTTTTACCTTAATTTGACTTTGAACTGATCAATTTTGCGAAAATTGATCAAAAGTTGACTTTTCCCCAAATTGGGAATTTCGAATTTCAATCGACAAAAAATCTAAATTCATTCATTTCTAGTCATTTTTTAGAAAATAAATTCCTTGACAATATTTAATCAAAAGGTTGTTCCGCATTCCATTGCCAAGCCAATTTTGAGATTCAATGCTAGCGGTGAATTTCCTCAATTTTGGCCCTAATTAGAGGTTCCAATTGATTCTTCATGAATTGTGCACTTTAGCCAAAATTGAGTCTAATTCATTAGAGGCAACTCAATTCCACTGCCAATTTTAACATAATCACAACAATTGGACTCAATTTGATCAATTAGTGATTGACAAGACGGGTTTATCCAATTGACATAATTCACTTTGACCCATGACAATATGAGGTTTAATTTGATTAATTGAGGTTCAATTTGATAATTAAACCTCAATTACATTCTATGGTCTAACTCATGTCATCATGTAAAAACCAATTAAGAGAATTGAGGTGCCACAAGTCTATTCAATTAAACCAATCCCATACGATTTGAGACAATTTGACTCAATCGAAATCAAAATTTTAGTAATTGAGCACAAAAGCCTTATCAATTGAACCAAATCTTAATTTGCATGAATTGAATCAATTGGGATGAAATTGGCATTACCCGTAGTGCAATCGAGGCGAAGTAATTCAATTGAGATATCAATAGTTAATTTGATTAAATTGAGCCAGTTCAATTTGAACCGTTGACAAATTTGATCTAATTCACTTAGCCAAAGCCTAATAAAATTTGCAATTTGATCCAATTAGTCATACAAGTCAAGCCATCAAATGAAAATGGACTAAATTGCTCAAAAATTGAAGCAAATTCGAACCGGTTCATTCCATTCAAACCCGAGTCAACCCGGTCCAATCGAGTCAACCCGATTTGACCAACATTGACCAACACATTTTTTCCAGCCAAGTTTGACCGGCCGACCCGCCGCCTCCCCAAGTTTCAAAAAATCACAAAAATGCCATTGCTTAATCATTAAGTAAGTTGTCATGAATCCAAGTGAAGGGCAAATCTTGGCCATCCATTACCCACTTGATCTTGACCATCCATCTTGACATGTCACCAATCCAAGTGACTTGAATTCGACCAATGAGAAGAAGCGTTAGTCATTAAGGAAGCATTTTGAGCCGCCAAAATTCAAAGTTGCTAGAGAATATACGGTTTGTCCCTCCAAAATCCAAAAGGGGGATTCATAGTTTCAGAAAAAATTTCTAATTTCTCTCTCTCTCTCTCTCTCTCTCTCTCTCTCAATCGAGGGTTGTTCTTCACATCGGCCCCGTATCTTGGCTAGTTTTTGGCCCCTCACCAGCGTTGCCTTCCCGGCCTCACCTTGCGATGCTACTCCCCGTATGCCCTTCCAAACATGTTCATCAAGTTCATCGCCGGCTTGATGTAGCTTGACCCCGACCACCAACAGCCTCGCCATCGTCGTTGCTGTTGCCAACAGCCATACAAACAAGCTCCTCGGTCCCTTCATCAATATCGCTAGGGACTGATGGCGAATGTTAGCATGCCCCTCAGCAACGGCGCCTGTGTCGCTGGCCTAGGTAGGGAAGCAGTCGGTGTGCTCAATCTAGGGCTCGGATCAACCTCCATCTGACGATGAAGGTGCTGGAGTTGCTGTCGAGGGGGGGGGGGCGGACGAGGTCGAAAGCATCAATGGCGAGGTCAGTGGTGAAAGAGAGGCCCTTCATAGGAGGAGATATGCAGAAAATGGAGGCCCGGAGAAGATAAAGAAAGAAAGAAAACAAAACAAAAAGAAAATTATAAAAAAGAAGAAAAAAAAAGAACATAAAAGAAAATTTGTCCCTAGTTTAGTTACCAAAACTGACTGGTGAAGATCTGGCTGGCCTGCAAGTTCGGACTCTTATTTAAGACTAAGTGGCCACTTTGGCCCTTTGGGCCTTTTTTTTTAATAGAAAATGAGCAAATTTCTGGTATGTATTTGAAATTTTCCCCTAAAGGTGTTTCCACGCAAAAGAAAGAAGAAAAAAAAGTAAAAGCAGCCCTACTGGACACGTGGCAATGAACTAATGGAGTGGACCATGGGGCCTTCGTTGCAGTCCAAACTACCTAATATTGTCTCCCCCCGCGCTCTCTCCGCCTCTCTCTCAAACCAACCCACAGTTCTTTATGTTTATATGCACCGGCAGCTGAGTCTTGCCGCCTTCATTTTCAGCAAGTCATAGTTTTTCAGGAGAAACAAAACGGACAGATGGAGAGAGAGAGAGCCAAGAAGAAGATGGGTTGCGAACAAGCTCTCTGCTTCCCGGCAACGATGGCAAATCCATGTCTTCGAGTGATCCCTCGGTCATGCCTCTCGTCGTTTTTAGCACGCTCGTTGCCGTTTGAGGGTCTTTTGTCTCTGGGTGCACTGTGAGAATCATTGCATCAACTTTTTCGTTAATTGCGTGCATGTAGTTTGATCACTAAGAAGCCATAGCTCTGTTTTCTGTTGAGCACTCTTGCTTCCTCTTTTTTCTGTTCTCTTTTGGCATTCCCGTCACAGGTTCTTCAAATTCGAGGGAATGTTTCGTTAGAAAAAGAAATAGGACGGAACCAATTGCTCGTCCAATGTTTGTCCTTAGCAACTTTCATTCTGATTCAAAAAATGGTTCTTTTTGGTTGTGGCATTCGTATGATGTTGCAACGAGCAAGAGCTATGTCTGCAATTCTTGTTGAATATCTGATTGTTTTCGGTTGTTGGGTGGGACGTGTGGGGAGCGAAAGGTAATAATGTTGCAGAAGCACCTTTGCGTGGCAAGTTGTGGATCACATGGTTTAATAGACTAAAGTTATTATGCTGCCCTGGATTTTTCAAGATTATGAATGTCATAATTCGGACAACATTAAATGACTCAAGATGCTTCTTTAGGATCAATTAAGTGTGTTATGGAAACTCAATTTGGCAACGAGACATGAAATTATTAGATTTCACTATTTGGGATTGCATTTTTCAGAACAGATACTTCTGAAAAACCAATTTCAGGGTACTTAACCTTTTTTTTTTCTCTGTAATCTGATATCCTAGACAGCTGCTCTATTTAGGCTATAGTTTCTTATAAGGTTACACTCTTCCGAGTAGAAGTTACCATAATTAGTGGCGTATTTCTATAATTTAGTTTGGTTATTCATCGCCTGCCGAGGCGGGCATAATGGAGGATCTGGGGCTCTCTACAACGACGGTTAGTCCTATCATGCATACATTGTTACATGTCCTCAATGCATTGCTAGAAAGTATAATAAATTGCTGTCAGTTTCAATCAATTCTTTATTTAGTGAGATTCTGTGTTGAACCTCTTTTAAGAATATGTCTCAAGTTTGAGCTTTTGGACGAAACCCAACCCGAATTGGAGGACGTAGAGCGTTAGTAGTAATATGAACAATTTCCGCAATGTGGCATTCGTTAGAAGAAGTCATCCAAGTGGGTCATAATTTCTTGGGTTGACCAACTCTGTTAACAAAGAAAAGGAAAATTCCCTCGTGAAGGCCACGCGAGATCCATGTCCATCCTTTGAATGATGTTTCACTATTGAGGGATTCCTCTGTCTCCTCCTCAGAACATGTCTGCCTCTTTATCCCAAAAAAGTAAGCTTTGCTCATCTCTTTTGTTTTCCTTGAAGCCACAAGTTGGACTTCTAGACTTGAGAAATAATTGCTTATTTGTCGTGTCTTGATGGAGCTCTCGTTTGCGCACAAAAGAAAGGTGATCAACTCTTCCTTCCCACTTGATGTGCATGTGATGTCGGCCACTTGACTAGTTGGCCAAATAAAGTAAACAAAAAGAAGAAAATCAATGATGGGCTTATTTCACCAATAAGTCACGGTGGTGAGCAAGAATGGGAGGCTTCTCTTGTTTATTAATAGAGGAGAGCCATCGTGGTTGAAGTGTGCCTCTGAGCACCGAAGAAGGGAGGGTTGTTTAATGCTGAGTGTTCTTCGCGTGAGTTTATTTTGTCCTGTGATTTATTCTCAACTAATTTGGCTAGTTACATTCTTGTGTTAAGAATTTGTGTATACCTCTGTGAGATTAAAAGATTATTTCACTAGAAACTGTGAGGTAGCGGAAACAGTGTTTGAATGCTCGATAATTGTTGTAATCTCCATTGTATTACTTGTTAATGCGATTCTCGTTGCACAAACCGACTTTACGTAAGTCACATTGATCAAACCACATAAATTTGGTATCCGATTTATTTCCTTGTTATGTACATTTGATTCGATCGCTTCTTTTATTTACAACTCAACTTTTTCCTAAAAAGCGGTCAATGCCCGAAATCTCTTTACTAGCTAGCAATGACTTCTTTATCTGGGACACCATTGGATAAAGGGAATTTGTGAGTCACCATTTTGGTTCTCTAACATTGATATTCCCGATTTCTTTCATGTTATACAGTACTCGCCTTTTGGTTCTATGGTAACAATAGGAGGGGCAATAGGAGCTTTGGTTAATGGGCGGATGACAGATATGGTGTGTCACTGACGGGTAAGGCATTCTCTAGCCTTTCCAGCTATTCTTGAATTTGAAGATCACATATGTTCAATAAAGAGCCTGAAAAAAATCTCACTGAGTTCTTAATTGAGTTGTTGTGACGCAGACAATGGGGATTTCGCAAATATTCTGCACTGCAGGATGGCTTTCTATAGCATTTGCCAAGGTTCGTGCTCTGTCTATTCCCTCTTCAGAACTTTCTTTGATAGATTGTCGATGACTTGACCCACAGAACTTTGGTTCCATTTCCTGCTCTCACGTTTATCAGATGATGTATAAGTGCACCGAAGAATGTCTTGAAAAGGCTGTGAAGCAGTTAATGGAACATTTCATCTTAGCTTGCAGAATGTTTGATGGCTCAATATCGGAAGACTATTACATGGAGTTGGCTTCGGGATTCTAAGTTATGTGGTAATGCAGAAACCTACAGAGTTCTTATCCTAATTAATTCCTAGAAGACGTTGGTCATGATTTTGTGGCCAAACAGGTACCTGTGTACATTGCCGAAATAACACCCAAACGCGTCCGGGGAGCATTCACGTCATTAAATCACGTAAACATTTTTTGGGCCACTGTAAACTGTTAATGGCATCGACTCGATGCATTGCTCTTCAACCACTGCTTGGTCTTGCTGCAGCTTTTGTTGTGCTGTGGCATTTCGTTGATGTACTTTGTGGGAACTATTGTTTCCTGGCGTGTCTTGGCTTTGATAGGTTACTGTCTCAGTTCTCCTGTGCTTTGTTTTGTTAGATTTACCTTGGAAACATTAAAAGCTCACCGTCCATGGTTTCATTTTCAGGTGGAATCCCCTGCGTACTTCAAGTTTTTGGTTTATTCTTTATCCCGGAGTCTCCTAGATGGCTGGTGAGTTGTTTATGGAGTATATCAGGTGCCCACGAGGAGCCACGCAATGTCGTGATCATTTATCATTCTCATTAGAAACTTTAATTTAGATTGTGGCCCATCATCACTTTACTCTATGTAGTAGCTTCATCCAATGGTGACGAATTCATCAGTGTTAGGTCCGAATTCGTCATCCGATGGGACTACTGGATGGTTGAGTAACCATGACGATAAGTCTAACACAACAACCAAGAGGGGTGAATCGGATATTTTACGAAAATTAAAACTTTCTCGCGAAAAACTTGCCTATAGGCGTAGGATCAGAAACAGTTATACGGCCATTAATAAAAGGTTTGAAGAGAAAGAAGATATTGCAAGAAGATTTGCAGTGGTTCAACTTTTCACTTGGCCTACGTCCCAAACTTATGGCCACAAATAAGGTTAAGATCCACTAATAATCTCACAGATATTAGAGTTTGTAGATGGTGCTACTTCTATACGGAACCCAATAAATAACACTACATATATAGACACCTCTAACACTATAAAGCATTTTCTTTGCCTAGATTACAAGAAATACTACCCTCTCAAAGAATAACAAATAGAAGATAAGCAGTCTTTCACTAGTGTAAGCACAAGATGAACGACAAAGAGAGAATAGAAGTTCTAAATTTCCACCAAAGTCCTCTGCCATCCTTGATCCCTTTAAATAGCTTTTCAATCTTCAAACTAACTGTTGGAAGCCATCGATCTCTAGGTCAAAGGAACCTGTTAGAATAATTAACTATTAAACAACGCCTTCGTCTAATAGCTTAAGCTCTTAGAATAATTGTCTCACAAAATCTCACATGGCATCAGAGCTGAAGGTCCTGAGTTCAAATATTTCCAGGCTCCATTTGCCTCCCTAATTTAATATATCCACGCTTAGTACTAAGCAAAAAGACTAGACTAAGCGTGAGGGGGAGTGTTACAATAATTAAATATTAAACCACGCATTCATCTGATAGCTTAAACTCTTAGAACAGTTGGCAGTAATTTCACAAATCTCACAGAGCCGTTGGACCAAGTTCTCAGCTCAGTCGACCAGCAAACGGCGCGTCTAGTTTGCTGTTCCTGAGCAGCAAAAGCTTTTTTAGAAATACAGGCTTTTACTTCTAAAGTTTGTCTGAGTCACCAACTATTTGAACATACATATAAATTTTTTTTTTAATGTTCTCTATGTAGTTTTCTGCGGATTCAAGACCTTGAAAGTGCTAGACACCAATTTGAATTTAAATTAAATTGGAAGAATATCGATCTTCTTATGCAGGAATGTAGAAGCATCTAACGTATTTTACTCCGTCTGTAGCAGGAGCTGCTTCTACATACGATCCCTCCAGTCTTTTCATGCTTTACTGACTGTTCACCTCCTACACTGGTATTTCCAAGCATATTGATGTCTTCTAGTTCTATACAGCTATTCACCTTCTATTAGTCCATCCAAGCTTTAACGAATCCCTCGTTTTACAGCTTGTTCGCCTTCTACACGGGTCCTTCTAGCTTTAGACACCCTTTACATCTAGTATCTTGTTCACATTCTATAGAAGCAGAGCACCACCAACCTTCAAAAGTTCCTGTTCCCCATACCTTCTGCATATTGGTATGTGCATTGGCAAGTTAGTTCTATACAATGCATGTATTAGTAGCGAATTATTTTGTCATCTTCAAAATAATATAGAGTATTTTTTCAAAAATCTCCCCCTTTCTTATGTTGACAAAACAATATCTGAATTCAACATGTAGTGTTTCCGCATTATATGTTGAGGGTCTCCAGTCATATGTCACTAGCATCCACTATGAAGGTATCATTTGCACCTTTTCTTCTTGGGATTGGTTGTCTCTCTACCAGAAAGAATCGATTCATTTCTTTTTTGGTACCCGAATATATTCGGGTCCTTTCTTGTTAGAAGCAAAAGATGATGTTGCACTGATTTCCAAAATATTTTCTTGCCTTTCTTAAGACAATTTTACTTGAAATGACCTGGTTCATTACAGTTTATGCATGAGAAATATTGTGCGCCTCTTGGTTCTACAAAGTGAATTCTAAAATGTGATCGATATCCATGGCAGACTTCCACAGTTTTATTCTTTGAAAGGATTTCAATTTTCATGAGGTTCATAACCTAATCAAGATTTCTTATAAGGCATTTGACTAGATAAAAACTTTACAAGAGTTTCCGAACTCAAAGAAACTTTTTTGCGAATTTCAATTAGTTCCTTTGTGACAAATGCATTGTCCCTCTTTGTTTTGTTTTACTGAAGCAACTTCCTTCTGCAGAATCTCCAGTTCTTCCTTATGTAAAGCTTCATGTTCCTTTAACGGAGATATTTCTTTCTTTAGCTCAGCATTTTCTCTACGACACATTCCTATTTTATTAAACATATCTTTTAGCATTTTGTGCATCTCGTCAAAGGAAATTTCAGAGAATCTATCTTTGTCTTCCTCAAAATTGATGTCTGCCATCAAATAGAGGTTCCCCTCCTCTTTTTCTTCGTCGCTACTATATTCGCACTCTGTGCCACTCCAAGTCTGATCTTCCAGTGTTTTCTTTTTCTCATATTTTCCCTTCTTTTTCTTCCAAGGCGGACATTCAGATTTGATGTGTTCTGGTTTTTTGCACACAAAACAGGTAATTTCTTGACCTATGGAGTTTGTTGTAATATAATGCGGAAACACTAACAGATCTTACAATTAAATCAATGAGAAATCACTAGAGAAATAAACGAAGAACAATAAAGAACACCAGAGATCTACATGATTCGGTCTAAGTGTAAATACCTACTCCATAGGAAAAGTTAGTAGTAAATAATCCACTAATAATTGGATAATCAAAGAGTTAGATTGCTTATACGATCTAGTGTTTCCCACACTTAAATTAAGCCCAAAGTAAATCCACAAGTACTCTCTCACAATCTCTCACAAATAAGTCACTCAGAAAACTCGCAAAGAGAAAATCCGATACTCCTCTTGTTTGCTCTACTCTATCTAATAGAAGAGTGGAATGTATGTATGTATGTACATACATACATACATACATACATACATACATACATATTCCTGTCCAAAATAGGAACCTATTTTAGGGAATCTACTCAAATTAGATCACCCGCTTAACCTAGAGATATATTCTCAACAATCTTTACATTGACTCAACGTTTGAGCCGAGTCATAGTGTTCATTATCCATCTCAACTCTCCTAACACCCCGATGGGCACTCAACCATCATAGATGTCAATCAAACCCAAGTTGAGCACAAGCTTGTTGAGAGGAATGAACTTGGTCCACATGTTCGCAAGACTCACCGTTGCAAGAAACTTCTTCACAGTCACATCATATCTTGACATGCTATATCTAACGCAAAAATTTTGATCACCAATTAACTCGATTCTTTGGTGATATCTCTGACTTCTACCGAATGCCACATCAACCCGATGTTCCGGCCAACATCACTAATCAAATCATTAGACCACACCACCTCTTCAACTCTTTTCATAGTCACCATGTTTGTCAACGACATCTTCCAAAACAAAGTTCCACTAACAGAAGCAAAGTGTAACTGCTCAGAAATCGACCATCTTTCAGGTTCCTTGCGTGATGCAAGGTCACAAATCTAGTTACCGCTAGACTACTTGAACTACATCCTCCAAAACACACATCTATGTCTATCGTCTCCAATATAATCAAGAGGATCCACATCAGAGCATAACAATGTACATCTAAAAAAACCGTATATATTCTCCTAATTGCATGTGATAGATCAAGCATAATATTATCCACGACATAACTTAGATAACTAAGAGTCCTAGCATGTGAAGCATGGGACAAGTGCTCCATCTCCGTCCAAGTACATAGTGATAGACTACACAAATAATATGCAGCAAGCGGGGCACTTACAAAATTTCTCAACTACATGTTAAAGGGCTTTGATGCTTTTTCGTCTAACTCCTCGGAGTAACTCACAACATTCTAGTTGTCTCTCTTTGCATCTACGTATCTGAAACTATCTCTATTGCACCTTTGTTGACCGTCTTGAAACTTCATCAATTGTGACCTCGGCTGTCAGCTGTTATGGAATCTAGCGACTCTACAGGCACATTCACATTTACCACACTTGAACATCTCTAGGCTCTCCCTAAAGCTCCACCTGTTTGTGAGCACCGTCCACATCTTTCTCTACAATTGATCTCTCACTCCTCTTTTGAAACAAAGTAGATTCATTAAAGGTAACAACTTTACTGAACATAAAACCAAGTGAATCTTTCTCAATGCACCACAACTTGCATCCCTTCATCCCAAGTGCATAGCCTAGGAATATACATTTGCTTGTCCTCGACTCCAGCACGCCATCACTCACACGAGTATAAGCGGAGAAACCGAACAACCTCAGTCTGGTGTAATCAGCAGGCTTATTTGACCCCGTTTCCTCGAGAGTTTTCCGATCCATTACTGGTGATGGTGATCTATTAATTAACCAACAAGCAGTATTTATTACTTTAGCCCATAAATCTTCATCTAATCCAACATCAAAGAGTAAAGAGTTAACTCTCTCCGATATAATTATGTTAAGTAGTTCTGCAACTTTGTTCAGCTCTGGTGTGCCGACACTAGTGTGGCGTTTCACTATGCCTTCCTCTACACAAAACTGTCTAAGCTCCTCAGAACAAAATTTTAACCCTTTTATCAGTTCACAAGCACATGATCTTCCTTCCTATCTGCTTTTCCATCATCGCTTTCCAAAACTTGAACCGACCAAGCACCTTGCTCTTGTGCTTAAGAAGAAAAATCCCAACTTTTCTCCAAATGTCATCAACAAAAGACAATACATACCCAGCACCACCTTTGGACTGAACTTGAGAGGGTCCTCATAAATCTAAGTGTACATAGTCTACAATCTCTTAGGTATGGTGAACTGCCGTACTAAACTTCACTCTTCGTTGACTATACCCATGTCGTAGTGATCATAGAAATTCAACTTCTCAATTCGATGGCCTCCTTGTAGACCCCTCTAACTCATAACAATCATCTCTTTCGCACTCATGTGTCAGTCTCATATGCCGCAATTATGTTGTGTCCTGACATGAAGAATTAGAGAATCTAGCAAATGAGCCAATCACTATTTTTCATTGGAGGAGATACAACTCGCAATCTATCTTCCCTAGCATCACAGTAAGCACATCTTGAGAGACTTTTATTACTCCACCTTCAGCGGATATCCGGTATCCAAACTTGTCAAGACCATTCAGTGAGATAGGAATCTATCTCAGTTCCGATACATGCCTTAGACCGGTTAACATTCTCATCACTCCATTGTGTATCTTGATCTGACTTGTTTTGACCCCTACCACTTCACAGGCAACAATGTTTCCCATAAACATTTTACCACACGTTGTACATTGATAGGTAGTTGATGTGGACATCGAACCCTATCGAGGAGGAGGTGCTAGGGACCCGTTGTTCTATCCGCTAGGCCCGATCACTTGAGCGAGAGCGAAGGAATTCAAACAAGCTGTCAGCATCATGGTTCAAGATATTTGGAATGGAGACAATCTGGATTCGAAACTTGAAGATTCTGAAGCTCCTTGGCGCAACATGATTACTCTTGGTCCAGCGAATTCCGAAGGAGCTTAGAATTGACAAACTCCGAATTGGCTCAAATTTGGATGGACACTTGGAAACGGGTCGCTGATCAATACTCACTACTTTAGTAGTGGTTGATGACGTTTTTTAGCGATTTGGAGTTGTTTAAATGAACTTTTAGGCCTTTTTTCCATTTTTGGACGAATTTTTAGTAATTAAGGTTATTTTTGTAATTTTAATCCTAGTAGGATTAGGATTAGGGTTAGCACCCTATATAAGGTTGCTTATAGATTTCTAAGAGGAGGCAGAATTTTATATAGAGGAATTTTCTTCTTGAGTTCTCTTGAGGACTAGATCTTATCAAGGCTCCCTTGTGGCGATCGAATTCAACTTATCGAGCAAGATCGCGAATTCTCTTGTTCGTGGCGTTATAGCGTGGATTGGTTGACACAGGTTCGTCAACAGGTCGCGTTCATACCGAGATTACCAATCACAGGTTCGATTGGGGGTCGAGGTCAACAATTCGTAACTCACAAATCTTCGTAGAACGATCATCTTCCGCACAGATTCATATCAGTAGTAAACTAGTATCTATAAGAAATTACATGATAAGAACATCCAAAGTCAAGCACCCAATCATCACCTGATGAACTCTTGGTGACTGTCAGCATCACTAAAACTATTATCTGTTGTGGTAACAAAATTACCGTCACCTGCAGACTCCACCTTAACTCATTTACACTTGCCTTCGAACAATCTCTTATGTAGTGCCCTACCTCATCATGGTGACAATATCGATGAAAAAAATAGTATTTAGCTTAATCCAAGCTTAGTTTCATTTTAATTGGTTTAATGTCTCATTGTCAGCATCTAGTTTAGAAAAATTTGCATTCTAGATTATTGCACGTTTAAATTTATGCAATAGCTCATGGGAAACTTGCAACAAGGTGATGTTAAATTTTGCTCGATACGGCCAGGGTTTTACTTATCGCACTTTCTTTGCGTTTATATCGTCATATCGGGATTGATATATGCTCCGCTTAATTTTGATTATATGAGATTTTCATGTTTTAGGACAATAAAAAAGTGTGAAATATTACAAGGATGTTTTCCCGCAAAAAGAAAAGGTACCAAAATGGACATTAGATAATATTATGGCATAATCAACTCCTTGTGTCCCAAATCTTTGGTTCGCAAAAATAAACAAACTCCCGCGTTTACTTGGCCTCTTGTCGGCTCATATATAATAGGCTGGTGACGGCTTCTAACGAAAAACCAAATGTCCTAATTTAAAACGAGAAGGCCAGGTTGTGTTCGACAGGATTTGGAAGACCTCCTGCCAAAAACTAGCCCCACCATTCAAGAGGAACCATTCATGCCCACTTAGTAATTCGTCAAACCCCCTCGGGGATATTTAAAAATCCCTCGGCAGGGTAGTGACAGATGGTAAGTCTTCAAAGGAACTTTTGTAGTTCACTAGACACTTGTCGATGCTGATGAGGCTTTGGCTTGATATTTGGATCTTTAGTGGTGGATCTGACCATATGTCATTTGTATATAGACAACGGAGTAAAGATGTTCAGGGGTTTCAGGGCTCTGCTTACAAAAGGGACAGAGCGGGTCCATTGAAATCCTCCTTGAGTAAATTTTCTCTTGTAGGCAATGCACTTTGACATAGATTCACAGGAATATACTTAGTTTGGGTGAGATATTCGGTTGCCATATTTTATGCGATAGGACCCTTGGACTCTGATAGGAAGAAGATGCATGTTCTCTATTTGGTCTTTGCCCACATTTTATTGAGTACACTCTTGATTTTGTTCCTGTCTAGATCAGTTTGTGGTCTTCGTCAGCAGACGGTAGGGGAGTCCCCGTGATTTCATTCACGATTTCTTGAAAATTCTGGGGAATATGTTTATCCCAAGTGGATTTACTTCTGTTGATTAATTCAGCAACAAGTAACTTCTAGACATTTATTAGGACAAGAAGTCCGAATCTTCCGGCATATACCACGTAACATGTAATCCCGATGCCATGCCCATTTAGCAGTCTTCCCATATCCAGCCCCCAAGCATTCTGTAGATTAAATGCAGTATAGCCTGAATCCATGGATTGATCATTCACAAAAATAGGATGTGGTGAAAATTTTCCTCGCATCTTAGCAGGAAGAAAGTTGAGTGAATCTTTTCTTTTCGTGATGGTGATCCCTTTACCAGCTGGACAGACTGTTTGTAAGTGCAAATTTCACAAATGCAGTGACACAAAAACATCCAACAGCACCAATATCTGAATGAACTCGTCCTTATGATAAGCCTGAAAGGTGGGAAATGCAATTTAAATTATTAAGCCTGTTTATCGAGTTGACGTTATCATATGAAAACATGGTAACGAGTATCAGACTGTCCAACACATCCTCTCCTCCTTTGTCCCGGGTGAGTGGAATATGTTATGAAGTTGGTTGTCGGGACAAATTATTACATTCTTAAGTAATCCAGGTCAACCTAATGTCTTGGTATCAGCCAAGTGATCAAGAACATGACATACTGCCTCTGGAAAATAATTTACTAACTTTTAGGCAGCAAAAATATAAGTAGACACACAATTAGCCAGAGTTTCTGACAATGATCTTGGTTGCTTCATCCTACCAATTCAGATTTCAACACTAGCACAATTCATTGCAGAAAATTGGCTAGTGATGCTTGCAATTCTTCCAATGCTCGCCCCTTGGTCTCCGGCACTAGCTTCGCAGTGAAGAAGATAGTTAAACCACAAATGCATGCAAAAATTAAAAAGGTTCCTGAAAGCAGCATAGTCAAGACAAAGATTTGTTAGGACATACGCCCGACATGTGAACACATGCAATTCATGTGCTCCAGAGAAGCATGGCCAGTGAAAACTATAGAACAAGAAGGAACAAAAGGAGAATTAATGACCGGGTGCGCTCCATTCGAACATGAAGTTGAAAGTGTAGCTAACGATCCAAGCACAGGACCATTTGGTGAAGGTCACCAGGCTTCCAGCCGACCCTTTAACATTCAATGGGAATACCTATTGAGAATATGACCATCGGAATAAGTGGGAATCCTATGTATGGTCTTGAAATGGAGATTATAGAGTGCAATATTAGACTGAAAATATCTATTTACCTCGGACATTATAACCCACGGTAACCCTGCCATACCAAGTGAGTAAGCTATAGAATACACCTAATAGCAATAATTATCTGTCAGCAACTTCAATACAACTAGTCCTGGAAAGAAGGTTGAGGACTTAAAAGCAGCACTACTATAAAGAAAACTTATGAGACTGTTGCTTCCCCGCTAAAGATAAAACAGGGTCCAAAATGTTTTCTTTTTCTTCCCCATCTTGTCCTAGACAGATTGAGCAATGAGCAGAGAAAGAAATTCATTTTCCATACATGTTCTAAAATTGAATAAAAACTATTAGACGCAAAATCCTATTTTCTTTTGTCGAAGTACGCTCTCCAGTGTATTATTGTCTGGTAAAGTAGGATTAAGCCGCAACTCATTATGCCCTCAATGGTAAGAGCTAACCTTACAAGTTTGAAAAACAAGTTACACAGACTTACCATAATGCATACATATACCAAAATGGGAGTGACTTCCTTCCAATACTGCAGGTCCTGGTTTCGCAGGAAGGTATCAAAACAAAAAATCAGGCCACTTCATGAGATCAAGAAGACTGAGTAGGCATAGTTAGTTTTCGAATACCTGCATGAAGAATGAGAATCCCAGAAAAAAGCAACTCAAGCCCATTCCAGCAGAAGAAACCTGCAAATGAAGGTCAGATTTGGTTATGCCTATGAGTGGTTTACTTTAGGAGATTACGTCGATATGTATTGGTTTTGTCACCAGTAAAAGCGGTCTTCTTCCAGCTTTGTCTGTCAAGATTACACTAAGAGCGGTTGCAGGGATCTGCAAAACAGGTGAGGAATCTTGAAAATGTGATAAATAAAATTCATCTTTCAGTGCAATTCTCGATAGTCTATTACCTGGACAATCGCCATGCTTCGGGTACCAATGCTGCTCGAAAAGTCTGACAGGATAATAAGTTAAGATTACCAAGTCTTCATTCTTTATGATTAACAAACGAATTTATAGCATGATTTTTACCGGCTGATTCAAATATAGAGCTTGCATAATAGGGAAATACAGCCGAGCCTCCAAATTGTTGAAGCATCACCAATCCCACTCCTATCTAAGCTTTGAAATTATTAGGACATAGAAAAAAAAAACTGAGCAAAATATGGCAAGCAATTTGAGTATTTTGAAGGGAAGGTTTACTATGAGGGAATGAGCGTATCTTCGTTGAAACAAATAAAGAATTCTAGACCGGGATTGCCACTCAAAGGTTTCTGTATAGTCCTGTAAGACAATACGAACCGAAATATTAAAAAGTAAGACGAAAAGGGACAACTTTCTCTTGTTGATATATGAAATGGAGAAATTACTCTGATATCTGCCGCTTCCTGGGAAATGTCGACACTTTTGCCTCGGAGTCTTTGCAATGTGACTTCAAACTCCTTTTCTTGACCGACTTTTACCTGTCAATAACTACGCTAATCATCTTCCTCGTAATGGAAAATGCAGAATCCTCACTCCAACATTCCTACAACATTACCTTCATTTTATGATTTTAGATTTCTAAATTCTCGCAAAAAGGATTCACGCCAATTGTACTTGACATGGAAATTATACTGCCTATACCTCTGGCCATTCTCATTTCTCCACTAGACTTCAATTTCAGTCATGAGTAAAGCTATTCTTGGTAAAATATTGAATTCGTTTATACTCTTCCCATTTCAGTCTAAAATTTTAACAGGGTAATGTGTTTCACGCAACAGCAATTCAAATTGATTTCCACGCCTTGTGATACGTTGCGGCGTGCTACAAAATACTCTTCAATGGCATGCAGCATGCTACTTGTGCTATTTAGATTGCCCCATCAACTAATCATCCAAGTCCTATTATGTCATGGTTAATCGACCCTCAAATTGTCTGTCTCCTTTGAATAACGAATTTGGACATAACACACATGAAATCGTTACCATTGAATGAAGCCACATAGAGTAAAAAGTGATGGCCACAATCGATATAATAGTTTCAAATAAGAATGATAATATCACGACATTGCGTGGCTTCTCATGAGTACCTGATACACTCCATAAACAACTTACCAGCCATCTAGGAGACTCCGGGATAAGGAATAAACCAAACATTTGTAGCACGCAGGGGCTACCACCTGAAAATGAAATCATGGACAGTGACCTTTTGACGTTTCCCAAGATAAATCGAACAACATAAAGCAGAAGAGAACTGAGACAATACCTATCAAAGCCAAGACACGCCAGGAAACAACAGTTCCTAGAAAGAATATCAACGAAATGCCACAGCATAACAAAAACTGCAATAAGACCAAGCAAAGGTTGATGGGCAATTCATCGAGTTGACACCATTAACATTTTACAGTGGCCCAAAATTTTCACCTGATTTAATGCTGTGAATGCTCCCCGGATACTTTTGGGTGTTATTTCGGCAATGTACACAGGTACCTGTTTGGCCACAAGATTATTACCATCGTCTTCTAGAAATTAATCAGGATAAGAAATCTGTATGTTTCTGCATTTACCACGTAACATATAATCCCATAGCCAACTCCATTTAACAGTCTTCCTATATTGAGCCACCAAGCATTCTGCAAGGTAAGATGAAATACACCGTTAACTACTTCACGGCCTTTTCAGAGAATACACAATTCAGAAAGATAAAGTATGATTGAATAATCTTCAGACTTTAGCAGGAAAAATTAATTTTTGCTTTTTCAAGGGTGACTTCTTGACCAGATGGAGGGATAGTTAAACACAATCTGTCGCGGGGAGCATGTGACCCATCAGATACTAGAAACGAAGTGAAAAATCACAGAAATACTCCCGTAGTCCACAATTCGAACCCCTTTCCTGTCAAGATATTCTTCAGCGCACTTATACATTATCTGATAAATTTGAGAGCACGAAATGGAATTGAAGTTTTGTGGGTCGAGTCATAAACGATCTATCAAACAAAGTTCTGAAGAGGCAAATAGACAGAGCACAAACCTCGGCAAATGCTATAAAAAGCCATCCTGCAATGAAAATTATTTGTGCAATCCCCATTGTCTGCGTCACAACACACCAGTCAAGAATTCTGTAAGATTTTTCCAGGTTCTTCACTGAAGATATATGATTTTCAAATTCAAGAACGGCTGGAAATGCTAGAGAATGACTTACCCGTCTGCGACCCATCATATCTGTCATCCACCCATTAACCAAAGCTCCTATTAACCCTCCTATTGTTAATGTTGAACCAAAAAGCGAATACTGTGACATGAAAAATCGGGAATGTCAATATTGGAGAACCTGAATCATGACTCACAAATTCCCTTATTATAATGATGTCACAGATAAAGAAGTCATTGTTAGCTAGCCGTTGAGGTCCTGAGTTTGGGCATCGACCATGCTTTTAGGGGAAAGTTCGAATGAAACTTGCATGATAATAACGGAGGTGCTGCACAAAATCTCACTGAACAATGAATTGGCTGAAACTGGCTGAAATTCATCATACTTTTTAGCAATGCACCGAGGACATGCAGCATGTATGCATGATAGGACTCACCGCTGCCGTAGAGAGCCCCAAATCCTCCATTATTCCAGACTCAGCGGGTGATGAATAACCAGACTGCACTAGAGAAATATGCCACTGGTTATGGTGACTTCTACTTGGTGGAGAGTAACCTCGTGAGAAACTATAGCGCAATCAAAGTAGTGGCCTAGGAGATCACATTCCAGAGGCAAGACAACAGATAAAAGAATAAATAAACAACCTGAAAATTGGTTTTTTAGAAGTATCTTTTCTAAAAAATGCAATCCAAGTAGTGAAATGTGATAATTTCATGTTTATTTGCCAAATTGAGTATCCATAAAAAGCTGAATTGATCCTAGATAGAGAGGATTGGCTTTAGTTTTAAAAATAAGCTTAAATGGGCCATAAATGGGTTGCTATTAATTTAATGGGTCTTAAATGTGTATTAAATAGGTCTTAAATGGGTTACCTAACAAGCTTAAGTGAATCATAAACATGTCATTTTTATTTTTTTTATTTTCTGATTTTTTAAATAATTTTTTATTTAATTCTTTTCTTTTCTTTTTTTATTTTTTATTTTTTATTTTCCTTTGTTCTTTTTATTTTTATTTTTCTTCTTCCTCCGCCGGTGGCCGGCTACCGGCGGAGGAAGAAGAAAAAATAAAAAGAAAAGAAAATAAAATAAATTAAAAATATGATTTTGAAAAATAAAAATAAAAATTATTCAAATGAGTGCACAGAAGAAAATCAAATTAGATTTTTCATACCAAATGGCGAAAAATATTTCCAGTTCATTTTTAGATTTCAGCTAAATATCGAAAAATAAAATGACTTCCTATAACATATTTTAGAAAATATTTTCCAAAAATGTCACATTTTTGCGAAGCAACGTACCCTCAATTTTTTTAAAAGAATATATAAATTATCCACTAGATTTGTATTGCATGAACGTGTTCTAATAATACAATTTTAAAAAAATCATAATAAATAAGCTTTCCTAGATTTAGTTAAATGGGTTGGGTATTGGTCAGGTCAGGTTTGGATCGAGAAATTTGCATTGCGATAAATGGGCTATAAACGGGTTGAATTGATCAATTTGAGTCGGATTATTTATGATCCAATCCAAATCCAGCCCGACCGACCGGTTTAACATTTCTAATCATAGAGAAGCAACTCGAGTCTTTTAAAGTTGTCCAAATTATGACATTCTCAAAATCAAGGTCAGCATAATATCTTGGGTTTATTAAACCGCGTGATCCACAACGTGTGGCGCAGGTGCTTCTGCAACATTATTCACTTTCGCTCCTCACACGCCCCCGCTAACCACCGCCCCCCCCCCCCCAAAAAAAACGACAAAAACCAATCAGACATTCAACGAGAATTGCAGACAAGATATTGTTGCAGCTGTTGGATGTTTGTTTGTAAAACAAACAAAACAATGTTTTTTTCCTTTGTCCCACATAGGAAAGTTTTGGGTAAGTGGGCCATTTTATAACTGTGAGTGTCTTCTTACTCCTTAGAGTGAAGACAATGGAGTGTGTACTTAGTCCACACAATACCTGCGTGCGGGTGCGCGAATAATTGCGCGATTATTAGGCGTACTTAACACTTGGCACGCTTGCGCGGCCGCGGTTTAATTAGCTCTAATCCCTTTATTTTTTTTATTTTATTTCGTAAGGTTATCTCCTTAATCTTTATTAGTTGAAAGGTTGTTTTTTGTTTATTAAATAATTTTCGAAATTATGAAAATTCGGAATTTTATTTATATATATTTTATTTTATTCCGAATTTTACACGTGTCTTTTCAAGACAACTTTTGGAGATTATACTTATTCAGTTTTCAACCTTTTCCGAAGGGTTGCATTTGTTCAGTTTGCAACTTCTTCCGAAGGAATATCTTTGTTAGCTTTGCAACCTTTCGTGAAGAGTTGCCTATGAAGACCGATTTCTATATATGTCAGTTTTTCGCAAGAAGGAAAGATCAATCAATTTTTTCAAGTCTTCTTTCGAAAAACCACAGCCATCATTTTCAATTGTTTCCTAGAGAGACCCTGGAGAAATACTAGAATTGTTATCTAGTATTCTCATTTTGAGACTTTGTTGTATCCTGGAGGATTTTTGCCGGTGACCATTAGCAACATTGTGGAGCAAATAAATCCTTAAAGAAAGTGATATCACGCCTCAAGTCTTCTGCAGACAAGATATTGTTGCAGCATCACACGAATGCCAAACACAAGACCACCATTTTGAAAGAAAATGAAAGTTGCAAAAAGACAAACATTGACCGCGCAATTTGTTTCTCGCTCTTTCTTTCTCTGACGAAACATTCACTCGAATTTGAAAGAAACCGTGGCGGAAACGCAAGAAAGAAAAGAAAGAACAAAGGAAAGCAAGACTGCTCAACAGAAAACAGAGCCGGGTTCTTAGTGCTCAAACTACACGCAAGCAATCCACGAAAAGTTGATGCAATAATACTCACGGCGCACCCGGTGGCGAAAGACCCGCAAACGGCAACGAGAGTGCTGAAAACGACGAGAGGCGTGACCGGGGGATCGCCCGAAGACTTGGAGCTGCCGGAGTCGCCCACGAGCAGAGAGCTTGTTGGCATCCCATCTTCTTCTGGGCTCTCTCTCTCCATGTGTCCTTTATTATGGTAAAGCTCCCGTGAAGAAGAAGATCTGCTGAACAAGCTCTCGTGCATATAAAGGACAGTGCATTGGTGGGGCAAGGCAGGGCATACCTAATGTTTTCTCCAACTAATAAATGGACTTTCAGGTGGGCGAAGGTATCACAGCGATTGCTTGCCAATAGCCGCACGTGATTATCTAAATCTGTACTTCTTCTTGTTTTATTCTTCGGTTGAGCATGGGGGTTCGCTTCGCTCCCGGTCTTTTCTTGGTCTTTTCTCTGTCTTTTCTTTTCCTATTATGTTGCAACGCATTTTATTGCTTTAAATTTTCTAGACCTTTTTTTTTTTTTATCTGAATTAGCTATCGGGTGATTTCGGAATAGGGAAGGATGGGTTCACTATCCGACCTGAGGCCGACCAGAGGTTTGAGGCTCGGGCTCGGATCGAGACTTGTCGGCTTCGTTACTTGTCATCCTCAACGATAGGGATACGATAATAAAATGTACTGGAAATTTTTAACTTCGCTACTTGAATAGGACAACCAATTTCGGAGTTCATGAGGGGTTATCTTTTTTTCTATTTCAGACACGACCCACTGATTTTTTTTTACCCACATCGCCACCCAAGTCAGTACTCAATTTTTTACCCTTCAAGGCTTGTCACTTGTTTTTCACAGTGTCAAATTTGCGATCGCCGAGCCCGTGCATTTTGGCGTTTGCTTGGGCCATCTCTGGGCCCAAGTCGCGGGGATCAGAAGTTTAGAGCCTAGTTTGGGTCAATTTCACGGAGAAAAAAGCCGAAACAATCCTGAATTTATTGTAATTGAGCCAATAAATATTTTTTTTTATTTCCTTTTTGGCAGGCTCTGACGTGGACGCCGACAGACGCTGACGTGGCAATTTTTAAATATTTTTTTCCTTTTTTTTCTTTCCTTCTTTCCCTGGCCGGTCGCCGAACCAACCAGAGGCTAGGGCCGACGAGGTCACCGGCCACTAGTGAGGCTCACCCTCTCCATCGCAAGTGAGGTTGAACCTCGCCTAGCGACGGCGAGGGCAAGGCTTAATTAATTTAAAATATTTAAAATATTTTTTGAATCATTTATTTATCACTAAACAAACGAAGCTTGATTAATTAAAACAATATGAGCAATTTTTCTTAGTGGTAACAATAGCCTATATTTCTAATAGAAAGGGAAGTGCCTAGCAATTTTGAAATGAGTTTTTATCATATTTATTGTCAATATAAGAAATAAGATTTTAAAATGTACAGATTAGGTTTAGGTATCACTAGTTTTGGGAGAAAAAAAAGGAAAATGACATAAATGGTCCTTGATTTTTGACCTAACGTGCGATATTATCGTTGAATTTTTAATTTGTTTAATTTGATCCCTAAAATTTATTCCAATGTACAATGTCGTCCCAGAACCTTTAATTTATTCAATGTGGTCCATGATCTTTTGATACATGTTCAATGTAATTCCTAAACTATTTTATTAATTCAAATTCAATGGCAATATTTAACATTTTCATAAAATATGTACCAAAACTCTAGGGATTTCATTGAACAAATTAAAAGGCCGGTGACGACATTGGGATAAAGTTCAGAAATCGCATTGAACAAATTAAATATTCAAGAATAAGGTCAAAGTTGGGCCGAATACCCAAAAAAACCTCGAATTTTACACTTTGTCCCAATTATATCTTGAACTTTTTTTTGTCTAAAAAAAAACCTCAAACTTTTATCCGAGTCCCAAATCTGTCCTCCCGTTATAAATCCGTCCAATTAACGTCAAGAAAAAAAAAAAGAGAACCTGCAGCTGTGGTGGTGGCCAAGCCTTCGCCGGTGGCCGCCGCCACAGCCGCTGGGAAGGAGCGGCGGCCCTCACTTGGGCCTTCCCGAAGGCCGGCGACCCTCGCCGGCCCGGGCGAGATCACTAGCGAGGGCGTGCAGCCCCGATCGGGGCGAGGGTCGCTCCCTCCCCCGGATCGGGGCTCACGCCCTCGCGGCGACTCGCCCGGCCGGCAAGGGTCACCGGCCCTCGCCCGGGCCTTCCCGAAGGCCGGCGACCCTCGTCGGCCGGGGCGAGTCGCCGGCGAGGGCGTGCGGCCCTCGATCCGGGGAGGGCGCGACCCTCGCCCCATATCAGGGGCTGCACGCCCTCGCTGGCGACTCGCCCGGGCCGGCAAGGGTCACCGGTTAGCCCATGGGTTGCAGCGAAAAGGCCTGGCCTCGGCGACCCATTGAGAAATTTCAGTAGGAGGGGAAGCAGCCCATGTGATGTTCTCTCGAGGGAAGCCATTGTTTCGTCAGATCAGTAGAGCTTTATCTTTGCTAATGGAAGGGTCTTGTGCGAACGCCATTGTGTTTGCGTCTTTGCCTTTTCAGCATTTTGTCTCTGGTTCGACCAAAGTTTGCCGGATCGGATGTTGTTGGGTGTTCGATAGAATCGGTGTTTGGTTGGGGCGATGACGGCTCTGCTAGCATCGTGTAAAAATCTGTAAATGAATATGAGGAATAGGCTGTTGTTGTTCTGCCAAACCTTTCTTGCAGATACAAAACTCCCCTTCTCATATTCAAAATATTGTTTTTTTACTTTTAAATTTTTATGAGATTGATTGTCAGTGTAAAGAATTGATTTTTATGTTTCATGTTGGATGATTGACGATTACCCTTTTCATTTTTTGGTAAAAGCCCAATAATGGAAGGAGATTGAAATTGGCGGTGTCAATGATAGAGAAACTTAGAAAATGTATAGTGATCTAAGAGGAGGGATAATTGTCCAAAAAGTCCTAAACCTATTGCACTTTTACCAATTCAGTTCTAAATCTTTTAATTTTGCCAATTGAGTCATTAACTTTTTCATTTCTTACCAATTGAGTCCATAAAATCAATTTTAGCCTGAAATCGCAGACGTGGACACTGGACGGCCACATGGCGCTGACGTAGATATTTTAAAATAATAATTTAATAATTTATGATTTTTTTGTTTTTTTTCTCTTTTTTCCATTTCTCTCTTTTTTTTTCTGGGTTTCGCCGAATTTGGGCAAGGGCCGCGACGCCCTCGCCCAGAGTTGGCAAGGTTGGCCGACCTTGGCCCATGGCTGGCAAGGGTCGGCCGGCCACCCTCGCCGACCCCAATTTCAAAATCAGAAAAAAAAAAAGAGAGAAAAGGAAAAAAAAATCATTAATTATTAAAATATTATTTTAAAATGTCCATGTCAGCGCCACCTGGCCGTCTAGAATCCACATCAACGATTTCCGATCAAAATTGGCCAGATGGACTCAATTGGCAAGAAATGAAAAGGTTTAGGACTCAATTAGCAAGAAATAAAAAGGTTTATGACTCAATTGGCAAAATTGAAAAGTTTAAGACTGAATTGGCAAAAGTGCAATAAGTTTAAGACTTTTTAGATAATTTTCCCTCTAAGAGTAATTCGAGCAATTTCCAAATGAAGCTATCTATAGTCATTTAAAGGATGATCCGACTCATAAATTCGAATTTCGTATTTAGGATAGGCATGTAAGGGGACTTACATAATTTTCATTCCACTTGGAAATTCAGAACAACATGACAACCAAAATGCAAAACATTATTTCCAAGAACTTTCTAAGAGGAAATCTCGACTATATCAAAAGGCAACATATGCCATAGGATAACTAATCTAGGGCCTAATTCCCTAAAAAAATCCTGACTTTAGGCCAAGTCTCAAATTTGCCCCGAACTTTTTTTTATCTCAGAAAAAATCTCAAACTTTAGGTCAAGTCCCAAATCTATCCCGAACTTTTTTTTGTCTTAGAAAAAATCCCAAACTTTAAATCTAGTCCCAAATCTGTCTCAAAATTTGTTTAGTGTAAAAAAAAATCATCAAAATTCAATTTATTTTCAAAAATATATTCCCGTGATCCAATCCCAACTTAACGTGGCACTTCCACGTTGATAACAAATCCACATCAACAAAATAATAAGGCTTTTTTTTAGACAAAGAAAAGTTCAGGGCAAATTTGGACTTAACCTAAAAATAGAGTTTTTTTTAAATTAAAAAAAATTTGGGGTGGATTTGTTATCGTCCCTAATTTTCATATTCTAGAACGATTTTATTTTGGAGAATTTCAACAATTTTTATTGGGTTGGATTTGTTATCGAAGTGAAAATGCAATTTCGGTCTATACTTATCACCCTAATTACTTTGCTAACGTGGATTTGTTATCGACGTGGAAGTGCCACGTCAAATTGGGACTGGATCACGGGGATATATTTTTGAAAATATATTGAATTTTGGTGATTTTTTTTACACAAAAAAAATTAGGGGCAGATTTGGGACTTGACTTAAAGTTTGGTGTTTTTTCTTAGACAAAAAAGTTCGGGGCAGATTTGGGATTGGACCTAAAGTTTGGGGTTTTTTCCGAGACAAAAAAAAGTTCAGGGCATATTTGAGATTTGACCAAGTTTGGGGTTTTTTCTGAGACAAAAAAAAATTCGGGAAATATTTGAGATTTGACCTAAAGTTGAGGATTTTTTTTAGGAAATTCACCCAACCAAACTAGGAACTAGGTACCCACCCATGGGTTGCTCAGTTGGTTAGGGCGTACTTGGGATTGTGTGGTTAGGCGCACTGATCCGAGGTTCGATTCCCCAGCTGAACGCTTGTGATTTAAGTGGGGGGCCATGGCGGTGGGTTGCTAGTCTCCTCCGAGGAATAGTCGAGGTGCGCGCAAGCTGATCCGGATACCTCGGTTACAAAAAAAAAAAAAACTAGGAACTAGGTTCGTCTTCGAGGTAAATAGGTTCGGCTTGGGAAAACCGGCAGGAATAGGATGAGGCGGTGATGGAGGCGGCCGCGATGAAATGGTCGGATAGAAGTAAAGTGGACCAACCAGTGCCCCTCGTGATAGGTGTCTTCCAATGTACAGCGCAAAATGCATTATGATAGCAGTAAACTCATGCGATAACCTTTCCTCCTAGGCCATAATTTCCCGACTCACACTTCGTCACAACATTTAGGTACTTACCGATCCTGGCAGAGAAAAAAGCCGCGCATAGGGGTAGTCAAATAGCGAGCACTATTTGCCACGTATCTTCACATGGTGGTAATTGCATTGAGAGCACTATTTGTAGACCTTGGAAAGTCGCAGTTAAAAAGAAACTCTTGCGCATGCAAAAAGGATCTCAAAGCCGACCAAAGGTAGTCAAAACAGATGAGCTCATAGAGAACCTAAATAAGTTCGTTTGGAAACATAAATAGAGGAACGGAAGAACATTGAGAATGATCATTTTGGTAACTAAATCTGTACAAGATACTGCATAATGCTATCACCATACAAGGTCGTATCTATCCAGCCGATCATAACAGGTGGCATGTGTAGAAATTCCAAGGCGAGTCCCCAATTCTAATATCCAGCGAAAATGAAAAATGTAGGACTCATCTCAAGCAGGAGGTGTATTGAAGAACATAATGTGGTTTAAGTGGGGAACTTCAGAATGTCAGATTAGCTCATGAATCCCCCGCCGGAAATGTTGGGCAGACCTTGCGGTGAAACGGGTCCCTGTGGCATCAACTGTGAATGCCCCGGACCTTGGACATAGCCTTGCCCCATTCCGGTCCCCATCAACTGCTGCGGTGCATGTTGTTGCAGCTGCTGAAGGTGCTGCTGCCGTGGGTGTTGCGTCTGCAGCTGTTGGAGGTGCTGCTGTGGCTGCTGCTGCTGCTGCTGCAGTTGTGGCATCTGCAGCTGGAGCTGCTGCATCTGCACCTGGAGCTGCCGCATCTGCTGCTGTTGTTGGGCCAGCATCTGCATCTGTTGGTGCTGGGGCTGCAGCTGTTGAGGCATCTGCTGCTGCTGCTGCATCTGGGGAAGCTGTTGCTGCTGCATCTGTGGATGCGGTGGAGCCTGCAACTGCTGCTGCATCTGTTGCTGTTGTTGCTGCATCTGTTGCTGTTGTTGCTGCATCTGTTGTTGTTGTTGGCTCGGTATTTGTGGCTTGAACACAACCATATCCTGAACACATTCGGAATCTATGATTCGACACTTCGGAATATTTTAGGGGGGAAAAAGGAGTAGTAGTTGCTTAAAAGAAGAATCCCCTCCTCGAATTTTTAAACATTCTTTAAAAATGGGTAGGTAGTTTTTTTTTTTGTATATTTGGCCACAAATCTAATAAATCATACTAAATATATAGTTACGGATCTTTTTGTAAGAAACAAAAAGAGAACAATTGCTTAAAAGTAGGTATCCCAGTTTCTTTGATATATTAGTATAGCATAGATTTTCATTAGTTAATTATAAGAGCCTTCATATAGGCTAAGCTATCAAAGACTTTTGGTGCTGGCACAATCTCACTGATATAGATTATGCAGGACCTGTTTATTGGAGTGTTTGAAGAAGAAATCATTTAGTTCTAAGAAGTATGTATGTTGCTTTTAGTTGTGGTATATTTTCATTGCACAAGAAATGATTATACCTATCTTAAATGTTGGGATAATAGATCTCTATCTCTTCCTAACCAATTCTTGAAGATTTTTTCAAGTCTTAATGCCTAGACGTACAACCTCTTTCTGTTTTCTTATGATTTTTATACATCTTTGTAGGTCCAATCCTCCCCCTTCTCCAGCCACTGTATGATTCAACAAATAAATAAAATCTGTGAATTTGTCCCACATCTGACCCCTGTATTTTGCGGTAAGTTGTCATAAGGCTTTCCTTTGAAGAATATTTACAAGTTAATCTTTTAAGCACTTCAGCACATTGATTTATTTTCTTTGTTTTCTTCCTCTTCTTTCAAATATATGGGTAGGGCAGAGACTGTGTATTTATATGGTAATGACATGTCCGATATATATTAGTTTGACAAATTTGTCTACAGAAATTAACTCTATGTTTATACAACAGTTTTATCCTACTCTGTTGTAGAAGTCAATAATATGATTTTATAAGTATACATCTACATGCACGCACGGGCGCCCGTGCGTGCACACACACACACATTACAAACATGACTCTGCTGATGGCACTATTCTAAGCCAACTTGTTTCTTTGACTCTTTGCTTTTGCTCTTTACAAAGTAAAGTCAAATGCATTCTACAATAACTGGAAGTAAATTGTTGTTTTGTGACAGATATGTAACTTTCATTATCTCGTGTTGCAAATAATACTCTCATCGATAAGGAAAAGTCTAATGATAAGCATATTCTTACTTATTGTAATGTTTTCTTGTTATAGTATTTTGACATAATTCTTGAGAATGAACATTTGGCATTAGAAAAAGAGTGTTACCTATAATTGTCTTTTATTAACCATATAGTAGAACAAGTACAGAAATATGAAAATATAGGATGGCAAAGGAAATGTAAACTATATATGGAACTATTACCTTTTTTCTCCCTATAAATTTTACACAGATGAATTTCATTTAAAAGTCATTCCTTAATTGTCCTTGCATTGCGCGGGCAATAAACCTAGTGTAGAACAAAAAAGTTGTGTCTGGTCCCATTGATTTTGAGCCTGTCGACAGAAGATGGATTCAAAGTTCAGACATGACTCACCCCAGCGAAAAGCATTCCAATCAAGTGGCATGGCTTGTCTGACACAGAGAGCAGCAGCGTCTGAGACGGTAATTGAATGACTGCATACTACAGAGAGAGAGAGCCACAAGCTCAAAGTCAGAAGATCAGATCAGGTTAACATTGGAGAGCCTGTTAGTAATGTTGCATTACACAATCAAGCAGCAGTCAAGCAATTCCTTCGCACATGCGCGCATGTGTGTTGGAACTGGGAAGCCTGACCCATTTTTACTTGTTTCTTAGAAGAACTGCCTCTTTAGCATGTTGCTTTAGATTTACATATCTAAAGTAACGGCCCAAAATAACCTCATTACACAGAAGAGCACCATAAGACCATACGTATTTGCAAACAGTGAGGGCTCTGACACTGTGCATGTTCATGTAATTATACCTCTTTAATATTTGTATCTATCCACTTTGCAACTAAGATCTCTCAAAACTATTACATCAAAAGAATAAAATGAAGTCTCCTAGATTACTATTTTGTTTCGGGCTCAAATGATCCGCAGTCCGGGCTGCTGACCGCTAACTGTCACTCCCATATTGGTTCGTCCCATTGTGTATTTGGGCATACAATTCCACACGAAAATATCCTGGACCTAGTCAACTCTCATCCCATCTCTCCTCTCACAGTTAATTGCTTAATCTGAGCAAGGCTTGGCACCTCCTCACCAACACCTCGGTCCCAGCCACCCCTGCTCGTGGCCAATGTTGCTCACGGCCACTCCCACTAGCTGCCTTCCAGGACGACCTCTCTCTATCTAACAGTCGTGTCACTAACAAACATGACCGGCACAGATTCATTGCCAACACGATGGCCCCAGCATGCAGCCATCATTGTGGCCTCAAATCACCACAACTCACTCACACACCATCAACGTCGCACATCTCTATGGTCTTTGGAGGTCCACGACCTCAGGTCGGCCTCTATCTGAGGTTATGGACCTCAAATCAATTGATTATAGGACTCAAAGAGGCAACTGTGGGCATGGCGACCAAGAGAGACAGAGAGAGAAGCCTGGGGGGACGGGGGCACGGCTGAGACCGATCATCGTGGTGGTTGTTTCGCTTTCCATAGTGGCTGTGTCAAGCTGCCTGCAGAGAAAAAGAGACACTGTGGCGGCTCTGCTCCTGCACGGGTGAAAGGGAGAGGTAGGGGAGCAAGAAGGAAGAGAGTACGGTTTCTTAGTCTTCGTAATTTAAATCACATGTATGCAGGTTTAGGGTAGTTCATTCCACTAATGAGAAAATGGGCAGCAGCCATGTATGCAGCTAATTTGTGCCCAAAATCCTTTGCAGTTTTCCGCTTTTTAACTCTCCTTATCTAGCTTGATCTCCTTTATCATTTTCTATGTTAGCACCAGGTGAAGCGGGAATGGGGTTGGGGTTGGGGTTGAGCATAGCAGTAAACATGTAACAAATCGGAGCATTACATACTCCAATTATCACCATATACTCCAAATATGGAGCAGGACAAGCAAAACTACCTTATGCATCGCTCCCTAGCATAGCAATGCTCCATGGATATAAGCACATTAAAGTTGCAGCAGAAGATCATCATACAGGACTTACAACCTATATAAATATACTTCTGGCTGTGCTTTCTATCCAAGACCAATGTGTGACGCGGTAGAAAAAATAACACTTGCACTCTAACACTGACATAGTGGATAGATTAAAAATAGAAAGGACATAGGGAATCGGTCGACTTACAAGTTTTTTCTCTTGGAGCTGCCCAAGAAAAACATGTTGATTCATTGCCCGAAAAACCAGGAAATCCGCCTTCCCAACGTATTGCCTGCACAAAGTTCTAATTCAGCAAAGTGCAGCAGTAACCTGCACGATCCAGTGTAAACAATGGCAATGAAAATTCCAGAGGACAAGGTTGGATTTCCATAAGTGGAATTACTTATTATTCATGTGGTCCTGAGATATTAGACGAACTATCTGCATGGTTGGAGGCCAGTTTGCTGCAAGCCTGAAAGAAGCAAAAGAATGCTCATGCAGCGAAAGACTAATCTTGAGACAAAATTAGTGAGATTCAAGATGCAGCTGACAAGAATGAATACGTATCCAGATCTTATCTAAATGACTAAAAACTGGAAAGGCAGATGAAATACAAAAGCAATTTCACAATTCTTGCTTTTTCCAGAAACGAGAAAATGGATACAAGCTCTCGGAAAGTGACAATAAGATCACGATCGGCATTTCAATAACTGATTTGACACTATATAACAGAATTTTATAAGTACTGTCAGATAAACAGCCATCTGGAGAAACAAATGGCACAGCAAATCTTTTGGCATCGCTCCGATCAGTAATTCAGACATGAATGATTAAACGAGAAGATAATGAGGCTGGAAAACTTAATGGAGGGCATCAGATAGATAACAACAATGCAAAAAAAGGTTACCACGAAAATTATGCTATGTTTGGGAGACCAAAGGGAAAGGAGAATGTGATGAAAAACGCCTATAACTATAAATTGTCCCTCATTTTCCAACTCACAAAAATTTTAAATTTTCAAAACTTTCCACTCAAATTTTATCCTCCGCACTTTCCCCACTTCCACAAACATAGCCTTAGTGATCTTCCCCGAAACCACAAGCCCCTATTGCTAGTGCATCCACAATTTGTAGCCATAACTGCACTGCCCCTAATACACATGTCATCTTCCACCACTGCTCCTAATATGCATGTCAACATATAAAAAGGAAAAAAAAAGCCATAATAGCATATCCACATTTTTTCAGTGGAGAACTCCAGAGGGCAGAAGAAATATACATAATCTACAAAAATTATATAGCACAAGGAACATGGAATTGTCCTTCTATCTCTCCCTGGCTGATGCTACTCTTAACTAATGAGCATTTTCAGAGGCCGTAACCATTCTTACCAGTGTTGGTTTTTTTTTTTTTTATCAGTGTTGGATTTGAAGTGGTCATTTAGTAGCAATGCACAGGGCACAGAATGGCAGGAGTAAGGCTTCTGGAGGTACATAATTTAATCTACTTTTCTACCCTCCAGTAATCTATCTTCTTTTCTAACCTTCCTTCTGTGATCTTAACTTGATTTATCATTAAGTTAATTCGGTGAAAGATTCCTTTTAAGTATTCAACCCTCCATCTCAATGGAGTTCATAACATCAGCTTAAGGCAGACAAGGGAGCTTCAGGGAATTCCAGTTTTCAACACATTTTCTTCAATCTTTAGCTACCACAAAATCAACCTTTAGATAAGTTCTATGCACAATTTAAGATACTTCTCCCCTCCAAATAACGGAAAAAATACGCCTACTCTTTGGAACAAAGAAAGAGCAAAAGTTTATTTCTTTCAAGGGGTTTATCTTAATGACCTCAGAAGAACGCAATCCCTGTCTAATTCTCAGTAGACCCTTTATGTAATTGATTTTGACCAACTAAGAAAGTTAAAATTAGACATATGTGTTTTGCAGGGAGACAGTGCTTAAAATTAATACAATAAAAATAAATCATCTATGCATTCTCTGTTACTGTCATAAGTAGACTCATAGACTCAATGGACCATAATTATAGCAAATATGTTTGTGGAAAAAGGAACAGAAATGTTGAAATCACCAAATGGAGCAGTATTATTTAGTTGTTAAAAAACGAAATGCCATATTAAAACGAATTCTTTCTATATTTCCACTCTAAAGGCAAAATAGTTTGAGACTTACGTCTCAGAAGCTGATGCACTCCTATAACCCTGCCACAAAACAAGTACAGCATTAAGGATTGCAAAAAATAAATAAATAAATAAACTTAGTAACAAGTAACGGGCAGGAAAAACACATAATTTCAATGAAGATAAATCTCAGTCAGTGATCTTTGACTTTAGTTAAGTCAGCATATTGCAGGGCTAGAGAAATTATTATGGACAACCAGGTAAATAATAATAATAACAATAATAAAAACTGATGATGACATTCTCTATTTGTACGCACTTGCGACAGAGTATTGGTTTCATTGCAAAGTTCATATTTTTGGCACATTATCAATCACGCTATTGAGTTTTCTTTTGATTACATGCCACAGTTATAAGAGAGAATGCTCGGAAAGTTCTGTAAATTTTACTCCACTTGATTAGACCTTTTCATGCACCCAATGCCAGCAACCCAACCATTTTTGGGAGACAAGATTTGGAAAAGAGTTTGGGTAAGAACCTCTGAGAGAACACCAATCTAGGCTAAAGAGGCCAGATGATTTGCTTGGCTAGAGTCGGCCACCTTTTTAGAGCTAGTCAGCAGCAAGTATTATGCTCAAAGCTCATCCTCTGGAGAGAGTGATATCTATGCACTTATGAAGAGAGTCCCCACAGAGCTTCTATTCACTCAATCTTAAAAGAAACCATTAACAGATGATTCCCTCAGATAGAGGAGCAAATCATCATACCTATATATTTAGACAACTAATGCAGAGCCAGACTTTGAAAGATTCTTCCCGCTCTATGTTAAAGTACACACTATGTGAAAAAAGACGATCATTTGAAACTACCAAAGTAGAGCCATTGTTGATTTGCAGTTCAGAATCATGGCAGACAAAAGGAAAGGTTAGGATCCTAACCGAATCACAGTCAGTTTCGTTTCTAGAGGACTAGTTTTAGGGAAAAGGCTTTTGGATCATATATGGAGAGGAACAGTGAACCATAAGCTCCAACCGCAATGAACAGCAGAACACTAAAGTGGAACTGGGAACAAAAATAGAATAGCCAAGAAAGAGGACCAGTGTAAATGTAAAACAAAGACCCAATGCCTTATCGTGTTGTAAGCAGATAGAAGACAAAAGTTAAGAATTACAAAGAAGGAATGACATAAAATTGCAGATAAATGATCTTAGTGATTTCGCTAACATGTCATACTCCATATCAGGGGTAGCCATCACACAAATTAAATGTACTGACAAAGATGATAAAAAAATACTGATAAAGAAGTGAAATGATGATAAAGAGAAATCTCAGCAGAATGCGATGGAAGTTGACCACATGAAATCCATAAACTTGTTGTGAACCAAACAAAATTAATCAAGAATCTGAGATCATCGAGCAACAATCAATGAAGAACGCAAAATGCAAAAGGTTTGTAATCCTGTTGTGTATATATATTTTCCTAGAAAGAACATACGCTTGAGTTTATACCTCCCAAACTTTCACATATTTGGACTGTGCAATTTGCAAAGCACTTGACGATTGCTGTGACAATGGCATACTTGCTCCCAGATTGTTGTTACCATTAATTGATGGCATGCCAGATTGTCCTTGTGAAGGCATTCCTGGAGTAGGTATCATATTGCCAGTTCCGGAATATATGATTGGAACGCCAGTCAACTAATTTCCATATCCTAATGCGCAAAATCTCAAGACACGAAGGGATCGAAAGAACATATCATCATCATAATCATTTCAGTGAACTTAACAAAGATATTCATGAGACATTGCCAAACGATTCAGTTCCTCCCTTCTAAAATCCTCTTTTTCCAGCAAATTGAAGGTAATTCAAAGTATTTCTATTGCGACAAAGAAAAAAAAAAAGTATTTCTACGCTAAACAAGCAATTATTAACATTTTGCCAGAGACCAACTGCAGCAAAACAAATGAACAAATCACTCATCTCAATTCAATCATCAAAACACAAAGACCTGGACAACCCCCAGCCTCGCTAATCAAAGAAATTAAGACTCATCCCATTCCCACATAACAATTCCCAACTTTCACACAATATCCGCTAGCCAAATCAGTTGGAAATTCATTACTCGAGTAATAATATCTCAATCAAGCACAACATCGAAACAACCATTCACAAAATCACCGTGTGCTTAAGAATCACAACTAAAAAAAGCACAATGAGAAGGAATCGAAGCAAAAGAATTTGGATTCGTGGGGAGACGAACAACAATTGCGTTTTGAGCGAAGAGAGAGGCGAGCAACTGGGTTTTGAGCAAAGAGAGAGGCCACCAAGAGAGAGGAGACCACGAGAGAAGCGAGCGACTGCGTAGTGAAGACAGAGGCGACCAGAGTTCTTTCTTCGAAGAAGCAGATAGAGGCGAGCGTGAGCGAAGAGGAGAGGCGACCAGACATGTTCAATGAAACAGATGATCCGATTTTTTACGAACCAGTTCGAAACACAACACCACGAAAATAAGCACCTTTTTCAGAACAAAAAACCAACCATTCACGCCACCACATCAAAAAGGAATCGACCCACCAAAGAAACAAGAAAAGGGTTCATCGAGAGCACAAAAAGAACAAAACTTCGAGCTCGACGAATCCAACAAAAGCGATTCCAACTCACTATAGAGTGTCGGGAGGACCAATTATGGAGACGCTCCACTCAAACACGTTGGTCTCGTCCACCAACCTTGCGGAGAACCCATCCACCGGGTTCCCGCAAAGATTTGCAACCGATCACCGACACCCACGCGCTCATCGACTACGAGAAAAGAACAGAGAAGAAACCCTAATTGGCTTGATTCAAACCACTGATCACCGACGCGGGCGAGGGCGGCCCTGGCCGGCGATCGGCCAGAGTTTGAAGATGAAAATTAAAAATAAATAAAAAAATAATATTAAAATTTTAATTTAGGGTAAAATTGTCATATATATACCAGTTTGGGATTTTTTGTGGTAAATTGAGGGTAAAATTATCACAGATGTACCAGTTTGGAGTTTTTTATGATCAAAAAAATAATTTAGGGTAAATGAGTCACAAATGTACTAGTTTAGGATTTTTCGTGGTATTAATCCTAAATATTTTAGGGCAAAAAAGACAACTAAAAAAGTTTACTTATCCTATAGAGCTGCGTGCCGAGAAAGCTGAAAAGCCCAAGGCACCTTCCTACCTGCCTTGTGCTTTCAGCCTTATAAAGGCTGGCTTTTTCTCTAGGTGGGTTCTAAAAATTTTACCAATCACTCAATATTTGGCTCAAGGAGCTTTGGACGCTCAAAGGCACTTGGGAAATTCATTCCCAAACGCAGCCTAGCTTTGGTCTGGGCTCGTGAGAAGTGGGGCCAACCGGAGGAGGCCTTACCATCTTTCTTGATTAAGCAAACGATTGCCCTGCACCACTCTCTTATAAAACCCCAAGCTGTCGTCAATTCAAGAAATTGGCGCTTCCTTTCCAACTTCTCAAATTCTCTCTCTCTCGGAGATTCAAGACCGACGACGATTCAGCCGCCGCTAGGGTTTCGTGCAGCCCCGTCGATTCGCTTCCTCATTGAGTCCCGACACACCCAGGCGATGGCGATGGCGCCTGCAGATTTCCCTTCCTGGTACGAGTAAAAACCCTAAGGGAGTCGCTCAGGGGAAACCCTAGAATTTCAAATCCCCATGGTGGCCACCGCCGCCCGCGGCACCATCGGCCGCAAATCCTCCGGCGACGGGCCGAATCGCACCATACGAAAACCAAGCACGAGGCCTGGGGATGGGGATCGAATCAGCGCCTTGCCAGACGACATTATCCACATCATCTTCCGGTCTCTCCCATTCCATGACGCCGTCAAGACCAGCGTCCTCTCCAAGCGCTGGCGGTCCACTTGGACCACCACCACCACCCACCTCGCCTTCGATGGAAATATTGGAAAGCCGTTTCACGATACCTTGTACTTCACCTCCTTCGTCCGCAGCATCCGGACACGGTTCACCTCGCCCAACGTGAAGAGGTTCCACGTCACCAACTTAACGTACTATGAGTTCGTCCGCTCCAAGCTCGACTCCTGTCTCAGCTTCGTGAAGGAGCGCAACGTGGAGGAGATCCGCCTGTGGCTTTCCACGCGCTTCCTGTGTGGACTGCCGGCGTCCTTGTATTGCTTCAGTTCGTTGGTGAGCCTGGAAGTCAGTTCGTGCCGTTTCTCGTTGGATGGGACTATTAGCTGGCCTCGTCTGAAGGTCTTGTCGTTCGAAAGAGTGGTGCTGAGTGAAGATGTGCTCAAGGGAATTTTTATGGCAAGTCCTCTTTTAGAGTCCCTTAAGCTGTGCGAGTGCAGCTCGCTGAAGAACATTATAATAGATGCAACAAGTTTGAAAGAGTTGGTACTCGTCGCCATTAATTACTTTAACGTGAAGAAAATCTGGGCCCCGCATTTGCTGTCATTGCGGGTATCTGGGGACTGGTGGCCTATTTCCCAGTTCAGACTTGACGATGTATCTTCTTTGGTGGAAGCCCAGTTGGATTTTGTCTTTCATACTGATGTCGTCAACGACGACATTCGGACTGATGACATGAGGATACGCCGCGAATTTGTGAAGGAACTTTTTGAGAAGCTGCGCGGAGTTCGTACAATCACCATTAACGGATGGTGTTTGCAGGTACAAGCTCAACATTTTCCACCATTTATAAGGCGAACTTGTGTTGAATGGTGTCTGTGATCAGCACGGTTTACTGGTGTTTGTTGCCCTGGTCGAGTGACCTCCGCTCTCTATGGCATTCTCCTCGTCTCTCATCAAGGGGAATTATTGGGAACGCATGCATAATTAATTACTGGCGGATAGGAAGATTCATAACTTTTTGTTTCGACTTATAAGATAAGAACATATAGTGAACCTCGGAGCTTCTTCCCTCTGTTTAATTTTCCTAAGAATGGATCTGGGATCACTCAATTGGGGACAGTGAATGCCACTAGATGTTGCTAAGGCTGCGCATAGCAACCATTCTGTGCCCGGGAATAGATTCTGGTCAGAAATGATTCTTTTTTATTCTGCGCCCGGGAACTGATTCTGAGCATTTGAAAGCGTTTGGTAACGGCCCAAAATTTCTATTCCTGAAATAGTAAAAGAACAGAAATACGTTTGGTAACGGCATAAAATTTCTTTTTATTAATAATATTTTAATAACATTTTAAATATTTTAATATTTTTTTTTTCTTCTCCTCCTTATTGGCAATGGCCGGTAAAATATTTTTTAATTAATAATATTTTTATTTAAAATAAATTTTTTTATTTTTTTTTGCCATGGTCGGTAAAAAATTTTCTTATAAATAATTTTTTTATTAATAATTTTTTTAAAAATATTTTACTAAAAAATATTTTTATTGAGATATTTTACTAAAAAATATTTTTATTGAAAATATTTTTTTATTTTTTTTTCGCCATGGCCTGGTCGCTGGCCATGGCCGGTAAAATAATTTTTTTATAAATATTTTTTTATTAATAATATTGTAATAAAAAATATTTTTATTGAAATTATTTTTTTATTTTTTTTGCCATGGCCTGGTCGCTGGCCATGGCCGGTAAAATTTTTTTTATTAATAACATTTTTTTATTTTTTTCGCCATGGCCTGGTCGCTGGCCATGGCTAGTAAAAATTTTTTTTATTAATAATATTTTTTTTATTTTTTTCTCCATGGCCTGGTCGCTGGCCATGGCCAGTAAAATTTTTTTATTAATAATATTTTTTTATTAAAATATTTTAATCTCGCCAGATACGGCGAGGGTGGCCCTCGCGCCGGACATTATTTTCTATTATAAAAAACAAGAAAAAGAAGAAAAAAAAAACTAATTCTCATTTTTGTTCCCAGAATCAAGAAGCTACTTTTTTTTTTATTCTTGATTCTGCTCCAAAACTGATTCTGGGCACAAATTTGCAAGAATTTGTGCCCATAATCAAAAAATTAAACAAACGGATTTCTATTCCCAAACACTATTTGGCAAGTTGCCATGCGCAGCCTAATTATTATGGATGCTGCTCGATGCAACATTATCAGACACATGATTTTCACAAGAAAAACGTACGAAGAGGTTATCTGAAAGGGTTACTTTTTCAATTCGTTTTTTCAGTTTGTAGGGGAAATACGATATAATCTGGAAACACGACAAAGAGTAATGGACCTATTCATCTTTAGGTTGACTGAACTGGGTCATGCTCTCTCGTCACGTTAGGCTGTTGTTCCATGATACGTCTAACAGGGTATCGTCAGAATATTTTACAATGGCAATGGAAGGATTCACTTGGAGACTTCGGTCGATAACGAGGTTGCCGTCTCATGTGACCTAGTACTTGAATTTTCAGATCCTTTAAAGTTCACAAGTTTTACATGAGAAGCACGTGTAATTAGTCTCTATTCTTAAAGACATTCGCTTGTTCGTTTCTACCTGTAGTATCCTTATCGGTCTTTTCCCGGCTGGGAGACGGGGTCAAAGGATATCGTATCTGGATGGGTTATAATTTTGTTATTCTTTATTCATGTTAAACAGGAAAAGAAATATTAATTAACTTTTCTATGTTGCTTGCTGAATGTGTTTAGGCTCTGTCCGTTTTGGAGATGGAAGAAGCGCCATCTCTATTGTCAAAATGTCAGAATCTGATACTACATGCAGGTGTTAGTCAATGGGACCTTCCCGGGATAGCATACATGCTACGAAGTTCACAGTGCCTGGAAAAATTAGATATACTCCTGACTGGTGACTGCTGTCCGAAGGTTTGTTCCATTGCTATGATATTTTCAGTTTGCTTCTTGTGCTGACTTCCCTTTTGCATGAATGTTTAAACAATGAGTTAAAACTCCTGAAGCACCTAAAGATGATCAATCTCGAGCTCTTATTTGTTCCAGCAATTGAAAGTTCCCCATGAATCTGTCAGTTTACTCAACATTTGTGCAGGGCAATATTAAGCTGTTTTAGTTCATATCGTAAAGTAACTGCAGTGTTGTACTGAAGGTTCTTTTGCTGCCATGTAGCTTTAGGATCTTGAACTAAGAGTTTAGCTATGAGCACTTAGAAAGAGAACATGTTTTATATGTGTAGATGAGTTTGAGAGCTTAGTTTGATTAAGACTCGATATGAAGTAAAACTAACTAGCATCTGCGGTGGACAAATGACAGTTGTTTGTTTGGAATTGTAGTGAGCAAATAAATTTTTTTCCCAGTGATCCGCATTTGATGCGAAGTTTCTTAAATGGGTATCTATGTGCAGCTTGAGCTTGACGAAGAATCTAAAGAACGTTTTAACTTTGACGAAGAAGATTTTTTGTGTTCACGGAAGGGGAGCTTCCAACATTTGGCGGAAAATCTCAAGAGAGTTGAGATCGCCGGTTCCGAAGCCCATAGTTCTGGGTCGAAATATCTGCACGCCCTGATTAAGTTTATTCTTGGTGATATACACTTGTGCTGGAGAAGATGATTATCAAGGCTGATCAGTGCACGCAACATGGACAAGAAATTCTTCAAGCCGATGTTTTTTGAGAACTACTTGGTGTGAACCAAAATTTGCTGTTCTGTGGAAGAGCTTCCTAAAATGCTTTAGTTATTATGACAATCGGGGTTTTTTTAGTGGCAGGGGTATGTTGCCCTGGGCACCACTTTGCTCATTCCTATTCACTCTCTTTTGACATTTAAGTTGTATATAAACTATGACACTGTTTGGTTTTGAGCATGTACCTAATTTATAATTCTTTCAAATTTAGTTTAGTTGTGAGTATGAATCTCTTAAGGAACGAGGTTAATGTTAGTGTTTTGGATTATCAGCATATGAAAAGGTGTTTACTCGAGATATTGCTCAGCTGTCTCTTCTTTTTCTGGCAAAATAGAAAACTTAGAGATATTTTATTTATCTGCACTTTTAGAAGATTAAGCAAAGTCCTGGGTATTGGATATGCATTTTGGAAATCTTAATGTATTTTTGCGTAACAGCATGGACATCATTACAATTTGATTTTAGTTTCGGCACAACCCTTTGTTTCCAAGTGAAGCAAGCCCTTGCACCATTGGAAAATTTATAATTAAGCGGTCCCCCATTTGATTTCGAAGATGCAAACTTGGAAGCACTTCTTTGCTGTCCAGAGGATGATGAACTGGAATTTTAACCTAACCTTATTTGTGGTTTGATTTGGTTCGAGGGGCATTTCTTTCCCGACTAGAATGTTTGCGAACCGATCTAAATCATATTTCATGGTCCGATTTGGTTCAACTTTTTCAAGACCAAAACAAACTATGATATCAAGCCATGTTTGTTTCCCTCGGTCTCGGTTCGATCCGAAACATAATTTGCTTTTGTTGGATTTGAATTTGTGTCAAATGATGGTAGTACAAATTTGTTCCCTTCGACATCCATTAAGCCTAATCAAGCCTCATTATGTTTGCCCCTACTCTCTGCCCCAAACAGAAGGATCCTAACGGCAAAAGACATATGCACACGGGTATAGAACAGTCTTTTGTTGTTTCTTATTCCAAAGGTCTTCATTAAACGAGACAAACTTGAGCACTAGCTAATTAGTGGACAGAGGACGACAAACGGCAAGACAGCGCGGGAAAATTAAGTTGAAATCCCAGGAATTGTTGTATTTTGCTATTACATGTTTGACACTAAAAAATGACTAACTATTGATTAATATTGACAAATAGCAAATTCAGTCGATAAGAGCAAAGTTTAATCAAAGCAGAAATCATCTATGAACACAACAATTGGCAAGCTATAAGATTCATCGATAGTGCAAGATGTCGATACAACAAGATGATGAGATTAGTGCAGAGATTATCAGAAAAATTCTTCATTTGTCGATAATTTGTAGGAGATAGATCGACAAAGTCATTGAGAGCGAACAAATGTAGATTTTGGCCTCGTGTTGAGGCAGTTTCATTAGCGAACAAAACAAAGGTTTGTCAATACATCAATTGAAGACTACAATGGATTGTCACGAGCGCACAATTGCTAGATGATTATGCCTAGAGTCTCGAGGTTCGTAACTTCTCGAGGATAATCTAGAATCTTGAAAAGCATAATTGCATATCTATAATTGTAAATAGTGCTAAGATCTTATCTGTGGATTAAAAATCCATAATGGTTCATAAATAACCGCTACTGGTGGGATCAATCATGGAACATCTATTCTTGCTCACTTACTTCCTCTCGGTTTTTCTACTGTGACAAGTCTACAAAGCATTGTGTATGGAATTATTGTTGGGGAGAAACTAGAGCTTCTTTACCATTTATTGAGCTAGGAGTACAACAATTAAATTATTGTTGGGCCATATGCATTTTCGGGGATTGGACAAGGGCCTATAGTTATAAGTTCCCGCCTAAACCGATTAGGCTCGAGCCACGCTCCTTGTGAGGAGTACATCACAAGTGAGGAATACTCTTTAAAAAGAAAAAAAACAAATACAACCTAGAGAGAAAGCTCAAGAAAAAAAAAAGACAATTTTAAGTTGGGCAAAAAATAGAAAATGACTTGGACCGAAATTATTCGGTTGGGGCTAAAGTTAATATACACCTATTAAATAATCAACATAAAGTTCTTTAGAAGTGTCAAATTCATCCAAAGAAAAAGACGAAATTCCAACAATCCAACTTTGGTGGAGCATAACTTTTAATCCGAATATAGTCACGAGCCCATAAGTACAATACGAAAAGCTCGTTATGAGCCTCTTGCCGCAGGGCCAAATATTGAAGGCCATTTTCGGCCTAAAAATCACTTTTTTGACATGTTTCGGTCAATATTTTCAAACTCACACCATTTTTTCTAATTTTTATATTTTAATCAACTAATAAATTCAATTGAAGAATTAAATGTTTTTATCCTTTGAAATAAATATCAAAATATTTCGGACTGGACTAGACCATTGGGAAGCCCGAAATTCTGGCCCGGCCTAAAACATAGACATGAAAACCGCCCATACACTGAACGAGCCATTTCAGGCTCATTCAGGCCGCCCGGTCCAAGTTTCGAGCCCTGAATTTTCATTTGCATCTTTAATGGGTGGGCCTAGGCTATGATTTTGGCTTGATTCAAGGGCCCAACTTGGGACCGTTCATTAATCACCTCTAATCATGAGAAAAAAGTCTAGGGGACAGATGAACATAAATTGAAATAAATAAATAAATAAATATAATAAAAGAAGCAACTAAGTTTAACAACTACAGAATCGGCTGAGTACAGGCATTTCGCATTTTCATACTTTTAATGAAACATGGAAGAAAACTGGTAAAATTTTCTTAACCTCAGTTGCATGAATATGATGGGATAGTAATTGTAAACTTGCAAAAGTTAACATGGTTCCTTAATTATTTCATTTAATTAGGGTCAATTTTAGATAGATCTGAGGGAACGATAGTAATAACGGAGAGATTATTGATTTAGAAGATAATATAGATTGATGAAAAAAAAAAAGACGGCAAAAGCAATCGCGTACCCCATGCGCGTGCGCAAGGGCTAATTAGTAATTATATAGAAAGCCGGTAGTCCCCGTGAAGTGAATCGAACCAAACCAAAGAAAAAATACCGGTTTAGTTCAATTTAATATAATGACTTGAGCTTTGAACTGTCGTTTTGTTGTGTTGTCGTTGTCGACGCCCCAACCCGTGACGGGACTTACTCTGATAAAGTGTGCGGAAAAGGAATCACATTCACAAATCCAAAGGTTGTACAGTCAGTTATGCAAAAACAGCCTGTTTACAAGCGACTTGCTCTAATAAAGGCTTCCCAACTTCGTCCAGAGATTCTTTGCCGTCTACTCAGACTTCACGTTCACCAAGACTTTATTAGCAAAATATAGCCATATTAGGCTTCGCTCCTTCTGATTGCTGCTCAGTCCACTCCAATTCAGTGGACGTGGATTCCTTCATCCTCTCCTTGGGACTTTCCTTGGTTTAACATCTTCGATCAAGTGACACAAATCTCTGTCCACGAGCAAGATATCCATCCTCAATTTCCATAACTCGAAACCTTTTCCTCTGAACTTCTCTACTTCAATCCGTGATTGACCAGTCAATATCTTCCCAAGATTCGATTTTTTCAGATCTTTCTTGACCAAGAAACCCTAACCTCAAACCTTACTTTGATACCGGATGTTACGATTAGGCGCACAAACATAACGAAATAAAGAGTAGAGACGAGAAAAGAAAAATCGAGATACAAGGTTTTATTCTGATTCACCCTTAAACTATGGCTACATCCAGCAAATGATTCCACTATAATTAACACCTCCTACCTCTCTCTTTTTTACAAGAGAAAAAGATTATATATAGGCAGCACCGTAGCTATTCATTGGCCAAAACTCAAATTACTAATAAAATACGAGCCCAAACTCTAAAAGCCCTCTGGCATCGCGGTGGTAGCCCCTGTGCCTTCTAATCGATGAGGAGTATAAACTGCGCTCCAATATCCCTAAGGTTAATTTGTGTCGATGACCATGTGATTGGAACACATTATCTCTCAGATCCAAATCAGACACTTAATCACTCAGCCAACCCATTATAATTTATTGTGCCCATCTACTTCACAATTAATCTTTTAGAGGAGATAGAGAACTATAGCTGTGAAAATGGGAGTTTCACCTTTTGAGAAAGTCGTTCGATGAATGCTGCATCTTCACAACTGCAACTGCCTCATCCAGTTTTGATGTGTTGCAATTCTAAAATAAGTACTGCCAAGTACACCAATTAAAGCACTTCGCGGCACAATTACAACATAATACAGCTACAACACAATTAACGGGGGGTAAATTGTCTAAAAAGTCCTAAACCTATTGCACTTTTATCAATTTAGTCTGAAATCTTTCAATTTTGCTAATCAAGTCCTAAACCTTTTCATGTTTTGCCAATTGAATTCATCCGGCAAATTTTAGCAGGAAATCGTTGACGTGGATGCCAGCAGTTCTACATGACACGACCGGCGCTAAAGTGGATAGTTTTAATGATATTTTAGTATTTTTTCGATTTTTTTTTTTTTATTTTTGAATTTTTATTTTTATTTTCCTTTTTTCCTTTGGTTTTTTTGTGCTTTTTTTATGTACCGGCGAGGGTCACCGGCAACCTCGCCAGCCTCAAAGGCCTTAGACAAGGCCATCGCGACAGCGGGCGAGGTACACGTCAATTGAGGGCGACACGTTGGGCGACAAGCTCAAGTCAATTGATTATGAGGTCAAGTTTAAGGCCACCAGCGACAGAGGGTTGGTTTGCAAGATGATGAGAAAGTACAATACGACGGAGGACGCCTCACCCGCAACCGGTGGGGCTGTGAAGCCCTCGCCCAGGGCCATTGTGGCCTCGCCTGTCGCAGGCGAGAGCGCAAAGGCCATCGCCAGATTTGGGCAAGGGCCGCCTCACCCATGGCCGGCGGGGCCGCGAAGGCCCTTGCCCATGGTCAGCGAGGGTTGCCGAGGCATAAAAAAAAATAACAAAGAAAAAAGGAAAATGAAAATACAAAAATTCAAAAAAAATATTCAAACATATTTTAAAATTATTCACGTTAGTATTGACCGTGCCATGTAGGAAGGCCATTGTACATTTCAGCAATTGTCGGTCAAAACTGGCCGGATGAACTCAATTGGCAAAAAGTGAAAAAGTTTAGGATTCAATTGGCAAAAAATTATCTGACAAAAAAATTGGCAAAATCGAAAAGTGTGGGACTGAATTAGCAAAAATACAATAGGTTTATGATTTTTTTGACATATCTTCCCCAATTATGGGTATACCAAGTAGATACTACCCTCGACATATACGCGTGCTTCTAGTTTGAAACTTAGACACGTGCCTTTGAGAATTGACTCCTT